GCTGGTCTTGTAATCCTGGGGTCTCGGGTTCGATTCCCGGCGGTGCCCGCATTTATAACTTGTGTTGGGCAAGGCCGTGGTCTAGGCAACACGGAGTTTTCCTCCGTGGCATCCCAACAATTACTCCATTCACACACAGAAGAAGGCAATGGCAAACCACTTCTGGATCATCTGCCAAGAACGTATATGAACAGGTCCCAGTCCGAGGAAAGGATGGAAGGATCCTGTTCATATGGACCTGTCCTCAGACAGAACACTAAATAATAATAATAAATGCTATAGCCTTGAACAAACAGCACATAAAATTTTTAAAGTTCCTTCCATTCTAATGTTGTACCTACAATAACATTTTTTAATAAATGCGCGTTTCCTAAAGTTTTCTTTAAATTCTTTAACAGTTCCGTTGGTGGACCAGCTTTGGATTGTTTTGTCCGTAAGGTGGCCAACGTGTACAATCTTCCGTTTCGGTTTGTGGTTTCCAAACCGTACATTTTAATCACATCTGTGTGTTCCTTTATTCTCACTTATGCAGCGGAATTATATTTGCAGGACACAAAATTTTAAAAATGTCCAAACTCTTAACTGGCGCCTGTACATTATAATTAAAAAATGGCCTGTTTAAAGCTAAACAGGGAACTTTATAGCCCTGCTTTGTTTATTAAATGGCGCCTCATTTATTTAACAATTTTTCTATACTGGATATATTATGCAGCGTCGAATGATAAGAAAATGTTAATGATTGATTGGAAAGAATATCGAGTTTATCTTGGTTTATTTTATATAAATTTAAATTTATGCAAATGGACTTAGTAAATCTACACAAAACCTCAGTCAGGATGATAAGCATCGAAAGCGCAAATTTTCTGTTTGTCCAGCTTTGTGTTTGGCAGGTCCCGGGTTCGAATTTTGGCCAAAAGAGGGACTATTCTGTTTGAGGTTCTCCATTTGCAAAATTATATCTGCAGAATACTCACAGATTAAAGGGCACCACCTTCTGGACGTGATGGTCTACATACATGGTGGAGGATGGGTGGCTGGCACGGGGAGGAACTACCAGCCGACATACCTCCTGGACAGAGATGTCGTCCTCGTCACCTTCAACTACAGACTAGGACCACTTGGTATGAACCCACTAACAAACGTTTCCTTTTCTGGCCAAAATGTGTAGAAATATAAAATTATAGGCAATTGCAAATATCTCAAAACCACCACAAAACTTTATCATGATATATATATATATATATATATATATATATATATATATATATATATATATATATATATATATATATCATGATAAAGTTTTGTGGTGGTTTTGAGATATTTGCAATTGCCTATAATTTTATATTTCTACACATTTTGGCCAGAAAAGGAAACGTTTGTTAGTGGGTTCATACCAAGTGGTCCTAGTCTGTAGTTGAAGGTGACGAGGACGACATCTCTGTCCAGGAGGTATGTCGGCTGGTAGTTCCTCCCCGTGCCAGCCACCCATCCTCCACCATGTATGTAGACCATCACGTCCAGAAGGTGGTGCCCTTTAATCTGTGAGTATTCTGCAGATATAATTTTGCAAATGGAGAACCTCAAACAGAATAGTCCCTCTTTTGGCCAAAATTCGAACCCGGGACCTGCCAAACACAAAGCTGGACAAACAGAAAATTTGCGCTTTCGATGCTTATCATCCTGACTGAGGTTTTGTGTAGATTTACTAAGTCCATTTGCATAAATTTAAATTTATATAAAATAAACCAAGATAAACTCGATATTCTTTCCAATCAATCATTAACATTTTCTTATCATTCGACGCTGCATAATATATCCAGTATATACGCAACATGAAACCTATAATACACGTTTTAAAATAAATATATTATTTTAAACTCCTTTGCTACATTTCTGATACTGAAGGATATAGGTTAATATAAAGAAGTCAAAAGATTTGGAAGCTGAAGATTTTCTGAAAGTCTCAATAAGATTCGTTGAATTGGAAACCTCAGCCGGTAATATAGACATCAGGAAAGGCTTGAGACAATGCCAGGTATGAGTACAAACTAAAAAATAAATATCAAATCTAAAACTTCTTGACGATGTTGAAGAGTCAATTGAAAAAAAAAATTCTTGAATATTATCCATCGTCTAGTAAATATAAAAAAATAAACTATGAAAAAATTTCCCGAGACCTTTGTTTCTTCCATCAGTGCCATCCACCGCTGCCCCACATAGACAATGGGCTCCAGACAGACAGACTCTCATCCTGTAGCATTAGTAAACAATAAAGAATGTTTTAGTGTAATAATGTTTTTTTTCAGTTTTTAAAATTTTTTCTGGAGTCTGTATGTGTAAATGCAGCGTCTTGTGTGATTGAAATCACAGCCATCAATTCATCGCTGATAACGATTTGCTCATGAGCATAAACCCTCTTTTAAGAACGAGTTCTTCAAGAAACGTATTTCAGCTAAGCTTTTTCAGTGAGCCGAGTAGCAGCTTAAATCTGCACACACCTGTAATATATCAGGTTTTAATGCACAATTTCGACATAGAAAATACAAATGTTTTCAAATTCCAAGTTCATTCGAATGTCTTGTAAGTTTGCTTTGCTTGAAAATGATCTAGGTTTCCTGAGCACTGGAGATTCAGCGTGTCCAGGTAACAATGGAATGAAGGATCAGGTGGCAGCACTGCGCTGGGTGCGAGACAATATCGCAGCGTTTGGCGGGAACCCGAGCAGCGTAACGATATTCGGCGAGAGCGCGGGTGGCGCTAGTGTGCACTATCACATGCTGTCACCTGCCAGCAGAGGTACGTTTATAGTCCCTGAAGACAAATCGTGCGTTGAAATTACTGCATCCACTGTCTTCCTCATCTTAATCCACAGTTGCCCACGGTTTTCTAGGCATAGAAGTCACAAAACGGCCCTAGATAAAGAATGTGTCTGTTGATTGCGTAGGCCTGTTTCACCGCGCCGTGTCCCAAAGCGGAACTGCTTTCTGCCCCTGGTCCCTTGCTCCTAATGGGTCGAGCAAACACCAAGCTGAGGAACTTGCATTTCTGCTCGATTGTCCGACACAGCCCAGCAGCGAAATGGTTTCGTGTCTCAGGACGAAGGACGCTGTGGACATCACAGCAACTGACAGAGCTTACATGGTGAGTATGGAGCAACCCCACGCATCACCAACAGCGGAACGACATCTCAAATTGACCTAGAATGATGCGTCCTCACGTTGCAGGAGCAGGAGATGTGTTGAGACGTTTGCAGATTCACGAGTTCTACCGAAGCATTTCATATATCGCTTGCCCCTAAAGAATGATATTCTGTTATCCGCTGGTAGATGCAGACATCTTAGTGAAGGAAGATGTTCGAAAGCACTTGATGGGAAATTAACGTCGGTTGTTCACTCTGTGATCCGTTGCTTTACTAACTGAAGAACTAATATTGTTAATAAGTCCGATATTTGATGTTATTCACGTATTTATAACACAACTATTGTTTCTTAAGGCCGATGGAAATCTTGTGATTGCGACGTCCTGGTGTCTAAACTGCAGAGAGCAATAGTTCATAGTGCCTTTGTCTTCTCTTGGAGTGACTGAGATAAATGCAATAAGTCACAGTTATTATATCAGTCTTAATAGCCGGTTTCTGGGCTGAAATCAGAACCTGAAACCTCACCAACAAGAAGCAGGTTTGCCAACCACTCGGCCGCGACGTTCGTGACTCTAGTTATCTTCCACTTAAGTAAAGTGTCCGTTATAATCTCAAGTTGTTTCAAACTACTAAATATTCTAACAACTTCAAACCGACACTTTCTTACTGACAGCAATATTCCGGTCTGACTGCCTGAGGGTATACGAGGCGAAAAATAGTTCTTACTGTGATGGCGAAGCGTTAAAGTTGGACTATACTTGTCTATCACTAAAACGTTAGCTTTACGTATGGTTAATTTTGACATTTGATGGAAATTAACGACCACTTTCATATTGCAGTCTTTGTACCCTTGAAAAGATTCAGGTTTTCCTTTGAGGCAGTCTCAAGGTTACAGCGATAAGAAGTCGATCCCAGGTCTTCCAGCCCATAGCGAGTCACTGACCGAAGTATTGTGATTCATAGACACACAATGTGACTTTTGAATGTCTAACCAAAGAACTTGTACAGTCACTGACCGAAGTATTGTGATTCAGAGACACACAATGTGATTTTTGAATGTCTAACCAAAGAACTTGTATCTGTGATATCACATAGATTCATAGACGATAAACGTGAAACAAAGTAAGTTCTGGCCATGAAATGTTTTACACCAGTCCAATATATAACTTTCTGCAGGAATGGAACATTCATCCTATGATACCCTTCAGACCTGTGATAGAGAATGGGGACGACGCCTTCATACCTGCCAGTCCTCTGGAACTGTCGAGGAACTACACAGCTGTGCCATGGATGACCGGCATAACTTCGGAGGAAGGAACCATCGCCGCATCAAGTGAGAAACAACTCAGAACACATAATTTCTATGCACGTTTCTTAGCGTCCTGGGTTCGTTGTAAAGTTTATTCTTAACATATTTAGAACCTGCACGTGGGCAGACAGTGAAGATGGCTGTCTTCTGGGTTCTTGCGCCGTGTAGTCTGGAAGACGTTTACCGACGTTTCAGAGGTCATCAAGATGGAGGCAGCATGTGACTGTAAACTTTAACATAGAACCAAAAGACACCAAGAAGTAATAACCCAGAAGACGACTATCGTAGGGAAATATTACGTGAGAGTGTAAAGTTGGTCTTACTGACTGAGAACTGGTTTATGCGATGAGCTATTGTACCCACAGTGATGAAACGTCGTGTATGCTTGATCAGTCATTTACCTATTAACAGTGAGTAATACGTAAATTAACCGCCACGGTGGTCTAGCGATTAGAACGCTGGCCTTGTAATCCTGGGGTCTCGGGTTCGATTCCCGGCGGTGCCCGGATTTATAACTTGTGTTGGGCAAGGCCGTGGTCCAGGCATCAGGGAGTTTTCCTCCGGGGTTTCTCCGTGGCATCCCAACAATTACTCCATTCACACACAGAAGAAGGCAATGGCAAACCACTTCTGGATCATCTGCCAAGAACGTACATGAACAGGTCCGAGTCCGAGAAAAGGATGGAAGGATCCTGTTCATATGGACCTGTCGTCAGACAGAACACTAAATAATAATAAGATGGGGTGGTCTAGCGGTTAGAACGCTGGCCTTGTAATCCTGGGGTCTCGGGTTCGATTCCCGGCGGTGCCCGAATTTATAACTTGTGTTGGGCAAGGCCGTGGTCTAGGCAACACGGAGTTTTCCTCCGGGGGCTTCCCCGGTTTCTCCGTGGCATCCCAACACTTACTCCATTCACACACAGAAGAAGGCAATGGCAAACCACTTCTGGATCATCTGCCAAGAACGTATATGAACAGGTCCCAGTCCGAGAAAAGGATGGAAGGCTCCTGTTCATATGGACCTGTCGTCAGACAGAACACTAAATATAAATAAATAATACGTAAATTATAAAAACTGGAAGCTCGTTTCTTATTTACGATGTAACGTGACTGCAAGAAAACCCTCGGGATTACGCGAAACTGTGAATGTGTTCTAGGACTGTACGGGAAGAATCTGATCCCCGACATGGATGCGAGGTTCAAGTACGCAGCTCCCATCGCTCTGTACTACAGCGAGACTTCGCCCCGAAAGGATGAAGTCACCAAACTGATAAGAGACTTCTATTTCGGAAACAGCACCATTAATAACGACACAGTCGCATCTGTGGTGAATGTAAATATATATCGATTTATATCGATATTATTTTACGTAATTTTTTTTATGTGAGTTTTCATATGCGTTCAGACGACGCATTTTGAAAACCACATATTAGTTTTGTCATGACTGCAAATAGCAGTATCCAATCTGATTTCCATCAAGTCCGGTATTTATTTATCCATAATAGGAGATTTGAGATTCTCATAATGGTAAATGTTCTGATATACTTTTCTGGGTTGTCACGCCGTGTGGATTTGAAGGTTCATACAAACGTTTCGGAGGAAAGCACTATCTCCATCTTCAGGAGTAGGGGAGATCGAATAAATGTACGTGCGTCTAAGGAGTCAGGTGTGAACTCAAACCCCAGCCGAATTTGGTAGTTCTTACAGTATTCTTGGATAAAATCTGGCGCGGAATTTAAAAGGAGAAACATTTGAAATTATTCCGCCTGACCAAGTTCACTTTGTGCCCTAAGGTAGCAAAGAGTTTTAAGCAATCTGGGGATGATAAGGCACTGGCAAACATTTCAGTCTTCGTAATATCAGTACACAACATATGTTACGTTTAATGCTTCACAGCTGACGAACAGTCTCCTGTGTATCTAACCTAGGCCTACTTTTCGAAGGTAATCCACTCTCGACTACGAAATTTCTGCAGGACTTTAACTGGAAATATTGCGAAATTCAGATAAGCCAATTAGATGTGTGGTTATTGAAAAGTATTTCTCAGCTTACAAGCTGTTTCTGTGAAAGAAAATACTGAATCAGAAAACATTAAACTAACTAACTAGATGGCTTACCGAACCCGAAGGTTCATCACCGAATTAACTAAAGCCCTCCACCGGACCCTGTCCTGGGCCAACAAAATCCAGTTTCCTTCAACTCATATCTCCCATAGATCCCGCCTGAGATTATCCTCCCATCTACGTCTAGGTCCCTCCAGAGGTCTCTTCCCCTCAGGCTTCCCGACCAGTACCCGGTGCACACCTCTTGTCCCATCCATGCGCGTTACATGCCCCGCCAATCTCATTCTTCTCGACTTAATCACCCTCACAATACTGGGGGAGAAGTACAGATTTTTAAGCTCGTCATTGTGCAGTTTTCTCCACGCCCCATCATCTTCCCCCTTAGGCCCAAATATCCTCCTCAACACCCGATTCTCAAACACCTACAATCTGTGTTCCAACCTCTGAGTGAGAGACCATGTTTCGCACCCATACAAAACAACAGGTAAGATTATTGTTTTGTACACTTTAATTTTCAGGTTCTTAGAAATCAGACGGGAAGACAAAATATTTTGAACTGAGAAGTAGCAAGCATTTCCGGAATTTAGTCTCCTCCTAACTTCCTCACGAGTATCATTTTGATTTGTTATTGTTGTTCACAAATATTTGAACTTCGTAACCATTAATGAGATTTTTAATTGATTAATTTTCGTTGTTATGTATGCTTATTTAAACCAATGAAAGCGGTGTCTGAACATTATTAGTTTCATCATTAGTGCACATTTGCAGTTGCTTCGTACACCGAATAGACCAGACCGAGTCTCGAATCAAACTGTTTAACTGTCTGCAGATGTTCACGGATGGCTGGTTTTTACAAGGAGCGGACCGGGCCGTGAGTCTACATTTCGAAACAGGGACTGCACCAGTTTTCTACTATTATTTTACGTACCGGGGTTCCAAAAGCCACAGCGCGGTCTTCGGCGATGCGAACAGAAATTACGGTGAGAATGTGAGCTTTATTTTCCTTTTGATAAGAGCACAAAACCGAAATTTCGTACACATCGGATAGATATTACATGTAATGAGTAATGGATGACTATTCTTCAACAATTTCAATTCCATTAAGTTAATTCTGTTAACACTTTGAAATTAACGTAAATGTTTTATTAGTAATTTCATATAATCTTAAATGTAATTATAATGCAAATTAATTCACTGATATACTTGAGAACAGCTAGTCTCATTAGAGGCAAGTTTTAAAATATATTGGTAGTCAAAATTCTTGTATCTACAAAAAGTAAAATATAAAAACAAACACAACAAATATGACAAAGAGTACAGGAATATATACAAAGCACATAAAATATAAATAAATACAACACAAGAATAATATTCGTGTTTTTACAACATAAAAACAACTGAACACAAAATAAACAATTCGGCTTCATAACCGGTATGTAAGAAAATGGTTGTCCCACTTTATCCCATGTAGGCGTTTGGGAGGAGAGTCGATTGATTAGCATTCCTACTTCGTATTCAGAACATCTCGCGTTAAAATCTTTGCCCGGAGACTGGTTGTATTCCCTGAGATTTTTGGTGATTTTCCTCAGTTCTTCCAGGGGAAACGCCTGGGTGGTAGCCCATCTTAAAATGAGGACGCACACTTCCTACAACATCGTTTCCATCTCATTAAACATCCTGCCATACGAAACTCTATGCTGAGTTACTGGCAGTTTCGTTAAATAAATTACAAATAAATAAATACGTCAAGACTATCTGGAACTAGTGATATATAACTTTAGAGATTTCCGTCAGCTATGTTGATGTTATTAATGACAAGTAATTATAAAGTGTATATGTGGATCAGGTTAATTAGTTGTCACTTAAAGAGAGTAAATTTGTTTTCTATTTATGTATCGAGTACTGAGAAAAGCTTGTGAGATGTCTCATGATGTAACATCTTCCTTTGCAGGAGTGTGTCATGCCGACGACTTGATTTACATCTTCCCTTCTGGAGACACTTTGCTTGGTACAACACTGACGGAAACAGATGACAAAATGGTCGACATTATGACAACATTATGGACTAACTTCGCTCGTACTGGGTGAGATAAAATTATTATCCTACAGCGTATCAAATTGCTCTCGATTGTCAGGAATTTCTATAAAATTGTTAATGGATTACGGATTTCACAAAGTATAATTTCTGAAAAAGCAATTAACCGAAAGACAAGAAACTTCAAAATGCGTTATTTATTTAGTCATATATCTTGGGAAATATATTTTCTTAATCACAATACACAGAGCTTCTTATTTTCTGCTGTACACAATTGCGTGTATTGTACCTAACTCTGTGGACATTGTAAATTGTCTTGGTTACGACGTTTCGGAAGTTAACTCTGCTATCTGGATAGATTATTATAAAATAGATTATTGACGACAGTCAGGATTGAATCCTAGATCTTTAGACTACTGTGGCTAATACGATAACCTCTTAACCACTGGATGGTATATGAAACATTCTTCGCCTCAATGGCCAATGTCCAACACAATATTGGTGTAACGACACAAACCCTCAGAGGTAACTTGTGTTTATAAACTTCGCAGGAATCCAACTCCCACCCCTTTCAACGGCGTTCAATGGCTGCAAGTTGCTTCGCCTTATTCAAAAGAATACGTCCAAATTGATAAAGATGGCTTGAGTCCGAAAAGAGGACTGCTGGAAGAAAGGGTCAATTTCTGGAACACTTTGCCTTTGGAAATTCCACCCTCGAGTTCCGGAAAGGATGAACTCTGAAAAACGTTTCTTCAAGTGGGTAATTTCTACTACATAAAAACTTTTTGGTTACTAATCTACAATACGAATTAAAATAACTCGTTATCTAAAGAAACTGGCTAATATTATTAATTTAAAAACTAAAATTATCTCATCAATATAAAAAAAATGTAATAAATGTCTTAAATCTCTGACAAGTCTTTGTACTGAATTTATTTCATTTGCAGATCAAATTCTGTCCGCCATATTATAGATCTTTTAAAATCGAACTTATTCTTGTAGCACCAGAGGGCAATGCAGTTACCTGAGGGTTAATGGGAGCGAATTATAGAGGCAAATAAAAAATGTACACGAATTTCGTCGTAAGCCTTCGCTGGAGCGAAATCGGCATTATGGTTTGTCACCGAGAGTGTCAGAAGCCTCTTCTAGCTTTTAATTACGTAAATGAGAAGGCTTCCAATTCCTCTTACCGTCGGATAACTGCGTTTTACCAATGTGAGCGCGTATCGAAGATGACTTGTCTTCTGAGTTGTTGCGCCGTGTAGTATGGTAGAAGTTTACCGACGTTTCAGTGGTGCTGATGTAAGAGGCAGCAAGCACCTCTGAAACGTCGGTAAACTTCTACCATACTTCACGGCGCAACAACTCAGAACACAGCCATCTTCAGACTCACCGCCGACATAACCCCAAATCCTACAATTTTTCTGCAACAACGTCCTTGGATCCAGATGTTGGGAGACGATTTGCCTTGTGGAAGGAAGGCGGGCTCTATGGCAGGAACCTAGTAAGGAAAAAGTAGCTTAAAGATTTGGCTTCCTTGGCCCTCTCCTTATGCGGAGAATCTCAGTCAATCGGAAACGGTGTTCTGGTTTACAAAGAGCTCATCCGTCCGTTCTATGATGGATTATGCTTGCCCCGTCTGGAGGTCAGCCACGTCCAGAAACTGAAAGTTTCGCAACCCAGGCGTTTTCCAACTACGACCAAGGCAGCCTGGTAAGTTCGAAACGAGGATTCGAAGATTTCAGTCCCTCCGACCACGTCTGAGCATTACCTAAGGATGTCGACCCAAATTTAGCTTATAAACTCCCAAGAGTGAACAGCGATGTTAAACAGCAAAATAATGCATAAATCTTTTTACATGTTTATGTTTTTATGAAAGAAATCGAATAAAATCGTGCGTTAACTCGACTTCCATTAACTGGGAAAGCTTGAAGTGACTTTCAGATCTTGTTTGCAGGAGATAATGGAAATGGCCTGATACACCATATGGACAGATTATTTAATTTCGTGGGGTGTACTGCACTGAAGTCCACAGTCGGCCCAAATTCGATCAGCAAGAAATTAGAGAATATGCTTCAGAGAAAGATACACCATATCCCAAGTATTGAATATAAGTGATTATTCTGAAGGCCCTTCGAAGGTCTTTTAAAGTAGCGTACTCGAGAATTCAAGGTTCTTCTAACTTGAGACTCAGAAATTTGTCAAGGCGATTTCGAGTTATTGCTAGGTTATTGCCATTACCCATTTCGTTACACATAAACCTCTAGTGTTCAGCTTCACGTTCTAGTTACTGAGACAATCTGTCCAGGGTTCATTACCCGATACGTCATTTAACCTAGTTCACTGAAAGAGGGAATAATATAGCCAAAGTTTTTGTATAAAACACTTAGTTCCAGTTTAAAGACGACATTCTATCGGTAAGAGAAGGTTATGTGGGACAATGTGGCGCCATTTGAGTGACTTTGACAAGGAGAAAACAGAAGAGGAAGGACTTGTTTTTCACCAAGTCATCGTAAATGCGCGCTAAACAGACGTTTCCGAATATACAGGTCAGGATGAAGGCTGAAGGCTCGACCAGCAAAATTTGTACAGGTCATATGACGCAGAGCCTTACTGGAACAGCCAATCAGCTCTCTGCACTTCATTTTTTTTTTTTAAAAAAAAAAAGCAAGGTCGACCTCGAAGGTTCGGGACTTCGACGAGGACACGTCGTCCTTTAATCGGAATTGTACTCAGCGCTGCGAAATTTGTGTTTATCAACGATTTCTGCACGCAATACGCAAGAATCATGACGTGAAAGATACGTGGAAAAACGCGTTCTATAACCGGTGCTTGGTACGAAGGCCAAGGAATACGAAGTACGTTGACATAAGACCTTATTACAAATCACCAAAGGAAACACTGTTAAGTATTTGGCTGATGTTATTGTATTCAAGCCAAGGACGATGATTTGAGCGGCGCATTTAGCACGCGTGAGAAACTCGCACAACATTTTAATCGGAGTACCTGAAGTAAAAATACATCTTCGGGGTAGCCAATGCGTAGAAATGATAATAGCATAAATGTAGAGTTTAAAGAATCACTTGGACTTGCCCACATTTTGCACGTGATACGGTCCAGTTGTCTGGTCATTCTCAGACGGAAATTACGTAGGGAATATTTTTACCTAAGTATGCTCCTAGGCTCATCGGCTACACGTCAAAGCAAATGGAATCCAACTTTTTAAAAACTGGAGAAACTTAAAGAAACCTTAAGAAAATTATCGAAGTAATAACACTCAATTTTATTGCAAATGTTCTGCAAAGAGGTCGTATTCGGAAGGTCCCGGGTTGAAGTCTCGCTCAGAGACCGGTCATCCAGACCAAGTTTCTTCGTGGTGTTCCTCAGTCCCTCTCTGGAGATGACGGATCGGGAGAGTGCCTTAAGTTATCTCACGACATCTTTCCATTTATTTTCCAGTTCATAATTCGTTACTGACAAATAAATAATATTCTGTTTGTGTATCGTACAAATTTGGAGACACGTGCAACGGTGTACCGGTGAAACGATATGGTCCAATTAAAAGCAACAAAGATTTTTGTGACAAATGGTTTCCTTGACAACATAAGACAACTTAAGCAATATTAAAACACTACGTCCATTAGCGATCTAATAGTTTGAGAAATACGCCCGTTAGCTTCAACCTGTCTGCCCGTTTTTCCGATAATGGCTTAATCAAAGCACATTATATTTTATGTTAGGGAATATTCTAAGATTCGTTGACACATGCCACTTCTGGTTAAAATCGGACAAAAGCAATGCATTTTTCCGGGGAAATAACTTGGATGTGGAATTCTCACACTGTCTTGGTTACCATAGTTTTCTGGGGAATCCCCAGTCGCTCAGCCACTACAGGAATGCTCCATGATGACATCATCCGGCCAGACATATACCAGACTACGCACAGACGCAAGGTAATTATCACGGAAAAGACTGCAATGTGGAGGTAAAATTCTAGCGAAAGAACCCGATGTTATAAAAAATCCTAATTTATTTCGAGATTAACCTCAGTCCGTCATGTAATTTACGCATTTTTACGTGATCTGGAGTCAAACTGGTTCTGGAAAAATGTGTCAGCATATCATTCAAGCCTTATTCTTTGCAATAGTTCTAGCCTAGATGTCCTAGTAATACTTTGTAAACCTTGTAATAGTGAAAGGAAGCAGCAGAGAGAATTATTCTTGATAGACTAACATCACTCTGTCACTTGAAGATTACAAATTGCGAAATTTCACCTCGCCAAAATCTCTCATTTATTTTGTTATATCGTATTTATCGTATGACTTAAGTCCAATGCAAAATAATCTAATCTAAAATAAATCTCTCCTTATCCAGCAGTTTAATCACTGTCTCAAAGAAATAGTGTCTCATTTTCGTAAGACGAATATATATATATATAAATTTTTTTTTCCCCCAGAAAGGTATTGAACACCAGAAGCCAATGCTCTCGTCACTACTGAGAACAAGTAAGCCTGAAATAGTCAATTTTGTGTTTTCAGCATGAACGCAAAAATCTATATTTTTGCCTAATTCAGTATTTAATTATCTTGCTCAATGGAAGTATTATGTTTTAGTGACATAACCCGGTCTTCACTTAACCTTCTAAGAAATAAATTTTACTACGCAATTAATAGACCTGTCACATTTTACCAAATTTTGACTTCATACTATTTTCCTGCAATAGCACAGACTGATTTTGAAAATAAATATCAGTTTTCTCGCGTGAATATTAAAATCTGAACACAGTTACACTTTACTAGTTAAGCGCCTTTGAAGTTACCTAAAGTGACAGGACAAATATGTCTCAATCGAAGTCCTCTGGCCTCTCAAGGTCAAAGGAAAACCGCTGAGTTATTGGTTCGTATCTTAGATAAATAACACAAGCTTATTAAAATAAAGTCCACAGTTCGCTTGCACCTTGAATTACGTAACATGATTCAGTACGTCTACATACAGTTTCTGCATTGTAACTACCTAGCAGAGACCTTGAAAACTTGTTGCCCGCTTAGCTAGTCAAGAATTTCTGCGTCTCTTTTAGAATCAGAATGTTTACAACTCTTCATCCCGAGCAAAAAGAATTCAGCCAACTTCAGACTTTATTTTGTATTTAGGGTCTTTCATAATTTGCAGTGTAAACTGGGATTATTTCCTTAAAGAAAATTAACAAATCTGTTTTCTGAGGGTAAAGTGAAATATTTTCTTTGAGGTACGGATTGAATTCTTAAATATTATTACAAATATTATCACCTATTTGTAAAACATCCACATGACGTGTATCGACCTTCCACCAGTTTCCAGTTTACGTGTCTGTACTTTCATGTCTTCTGCGATGACCTGGTTTCAGATTATCGAACCCGGTGGAAAGAGTAGGGTCCCCGTGTGGGGCATAGCACTCAACAGCGACAGCGAAGTTTTTGTGGGGCGGAGAGAAGAGAAGGTTTTTGTGAGCTAGGGCTAACAGGTGGGACAGATACACCTTAAGGACGCAGCCTTACCTGTTAAAGAGGGCCTCCGCATGGTTCGGGTTAGTTTATGATGGGTTTCGTCAGGTTAGGTTATGTTAGGTTTGTTAGGTTAGGTTAGGTTAGTTTAGGTTAGTTTAGGTTAGGTTAG